AGCCATGTCGCTTTCAGGTTCACACTTTGTATCGGTGTCACAAATACCTATCCGGAACTCACCCTGTGAGTCGTAAAATTTTGTCGGTCCGGAGTTATCCCTCCGAAACCTAAAAACCTTGTTATCATTCAAACACCGTAACCGTAATAGGTAGAAAAAAGGCAAAGGGTGAAATTTGTTCAGGACCAGACCCCGGTTCTTCGTTACATTTGGATCGAAAAGATTCAACGGCTCATTGGTAGGGTTATGCCCCATTGAAAATTAACCGGTGTCGGTTGGCCATCAAAACTCAGAAACCGTAAGTCGTAGACATCTAGGATCTGCACCAATGATCATCAATTCATGTGACTTTCAAAATGCCTCAAGGTCAAATTTGTATGTTGACCTTGACCTTTGACCTTACACCTTGTTATGGGATAATCTCAGAAACCATTATACTTACAGAAGTTTTGAATAGTGGAAAATGTTTGGGTCATTAAGGCGCAACTTTGTTACATTTTGACCGAAGAGATTTGACCTTTCTGTAAGGGGCATAACCCCTGTTTTAGGTTTCTGAAAAGACAAAATCAGCCTTTTACTATATAACCAAAGGTCCTAGACCCATGGGGTCTTCAGCAATGACATTGGTGACTAATGACCTTGACAAAGGTCACAAGGTCAAAGGTCAAGGTCATGTCCCAGATAGCGAATTATGTGTTTTTGACCTTATTTAAAGGATTTTAAGTGTGTTTTAAAGCTTTTTAAGGTTGACCTTGACCTTTGACCTTACAACTTTTTATTCGATATCTCAAAAACGATTATACTTACAGAAATAGTAAATAGTGAAAACTGTTTGGGACATTAAGGCGCAACTTTTTTACGTAATGACCGAAGAGATTTGACCTATCCGTAAGGGGCATAACCCCCGTTAACTATTTCTGAAAAGACAAAATCAGCATTAACTATTGAACCAAAGGTCCTAGACCCCTAGGGTCTTCAGCAATGACAAAAGAGACCAATGACCTTGACAAAGGTCACAAGGTCAAAGGTCAAGGTCATGTCTAAGATAGCGAATTAAGTGTTTTTGACCTTATCTAAAGGATTTTTAGTGTGTTTTAAAGCTTTTTGAGGTTGACCTTGACCTTTGACCTTAAAACTTATTTATTGGATATCTCAAAAACGATAATACTTACAGAAACAGTAAATAGTGAAAAATAATTGGGACATAAGGGCGCAACTTTTTTTACATTTGGCCGAAGAGATTTGACCTATCTGTAAGGGGCATAACCCCTGTTAACTGTTTTAGAAAAGACAAAATAAGCTTTAACTCATGAACCAAAGGTCCTAGACCCATGGGGTCTTTTGTTGTGACATCGTGGACCAATGACCTTGACAAAGATCATAAGGTCAAAAGTCAAGGTCATGTCCCAAATTCCGAATTATGTGTTTTGACCATATTTTAAGGGTTTTGTGTGTGTTTTAGAGCTTTTCAATGCATTCTACGCCTATTGAAACATATATTTTATATAATGAAAAGGAAAGACCTCTCAATTGTTCAAGAACAATTGACATTTTAATTATCATTATCATTGTTATCATTATTATCATTATCATGATCATTAATTATATCAATATTGAAAATATCATTGTTATGAAAAATATATACTTTTTATCTGTAGAGAGAGATGGAGAAAGAAAAAAAACCATTTTATTAATATTCTGAGAAATAAATCTCAGTTTGCATGCTTATGATAAGATTTTGGTTGAAACATATATAAATTATAGCATGACAGTTATTTCAAGCAACAAGGAAACAACCGATGAGTTTATTCAACATAGATCTCAATTACCGTTCTTTGCATTTCTTAGTAATATTTTTATTCCCAGTGTAGTACGTAAAACATCTAATAGTTCATAAATATTTATCTCAATAACCTATGGAAGGTAGTTACCTTCCTAACTCTATACCTGCTTATTCTATTTTAGTTTTCTTTTTCTATGTATCTCTTTTACACCCTTTCTTCCAACTCATATGCTGCTACCGTAGAATATCACAGCATTTGCATTTTAATGTGATTTTTTTTAATTTAACGAATCGCCATTGATTTAACATTTGAGCAAAACTGAATGTTTTTGGAAAAAGTATGTTAAGGTATTTCCGTGGTAGAGAGGATTTCATTTTGGAGGATATGTACATATTTTTTTTATTATTTTTGTTTGAATGTGTTTGTATTGTGTGTTAGTTTGAATGTGTTTGTATTGTGTGTTATGTTTGAATATGTTTGTATTGTGTGTTATGTTTGAAAGTGTTTGTATTGTGTGTTATGTTTGAAAGTGGTTGTATTGTGTGTTATGTTTGAATGTGGTTGTATTGTGTGTTATGTTTGAATGTGGTTGTATTGTGTGTTATGTTTGAATGTGTTTGTATTGTGTGTTATTGTTTGAATGTGTTTGTATTGTGTGTTATGTTTGAATGTGTTTGTATTGTGTGTTATGTTTGAAAGTGTTTGTATTGTGTGTTATGTTTGAATGTGGTTGTATTGTGTGTTATGTTTGAATATGTTTGTATTGTGTGTTATGTTTGAATGTGGTTGTATTGTGTGTTATGTTTGAATGTGGTTGTATTGTGTGTTATGTTTGAATGTGGTTGTATTATGTGTTATGTTTGAATGTGGTTGTATTGTGTGTTATGTTTGAATATGTTTGTATTGTGTGTTATGTTTGAATGTGGTTGTATTGTGTGTTATTGTTTGAATGTGTTTGTATTGTGTGTTATGTTTGAATGTGGTTGTATTGTGTGTTATTGTTTGAATGTGTTTGTATTGTGTGTTATGTTTGAATGTGGTTGTATTGTGTGTTATGTTTGAATGTGGTTGTATTGTGTGTTATGTTTGAATGTGTTTGTATTGTGTGTTATTGTTTGAATGTGTTTGTATTGTGTGTTAGTTTGAATGTGTTTGTATTGTATGTTATGTTTGAATATGTTTGAATTGTGTGTTATGTTTGAAAGTGTTTGTATTGTGTGTTATGTTTGAAAGTGGTTGTATTGTGTGTTATGTTTGAATGTGGTTGTATTGTGTGTTATGTTTGAATGTGGTTGTATTGTGTGTTATTGTTTGAATGTGGTTGTATTGTGTGTTATGTTTGAATGTGGTTGTATTGTGTGTTATGTTTGAATGTGTTTGTATTGTGTGTTATGTTTGAATGGATTTGTATTGTGTGTTATGTTTGAATGTGGTTGTATTGTGTGTTATGTTTGAATTTGGTTGTATTGTATTGTATTGTATTGTATTGGTTTTTTTGTTGTTGTTGTTTTTTTAACGGTATGGGACATAAACTTCCTTGTTTCTAAATAGCCTTTGATCAGAAAATTTGGCAAGTAATTGGATTCAATCTTCCTGAGCTTGACTTCCGTATTTCCTATAGCAGCTATCTGCTATGTCCCAGCGAACATGTGATCAGAAGGGAAACCATCAAACGAACAGACCAAAACTTAGTTGGCCTCATCGACTGGACAGAGATAATTTCTTTACCACAGAATTGTGTTCAACTACGGTTGTAGTGATAAAATCAAAGGGCCTTGCAACCCTTCAAGTCCTACTAAAAAGTTGGGAATGTCATTTTGTAAACACAAGTCTAATCCAAGCGATATTTATGTCGTCCAAACAATTAGAATCGACGACATCATTACTATTCGAAACCTTTGATACCGTCTTTCAAACTACAACACCCGATTAGTGCAAACTATGTTAGCAGTAGTCTTTTTTTGTACTATCGATATACTTTGTTAAAAGACATGTAAAAGCTTTTAATGCAATTATTTCAATAAATAATGCAAATTAGAAAATATGCATTTGCATTTATATTTCAATTATTTTAGTTTAAGGATGTTCGCTACTCTGTTTCAAAATAATAAGCTTTTTAAAAGACTGTTATAAATTGATAGTATATAGATAACACAACTAAAAAAGCAGAAAATAATGACGGGTCCGTGTCATTGTTTTCGAGATATAAGCCATAGAAAACTTGGCGGGAAATGATTCTCTCTAGATTTTTCATACATTTAACATTGGCACCTTTTTTCTTTCAAAAACTATGAAAAAATAACAAGGATTTTATAAGATTTTCAAATATGGCTTTTTAAACAATATTTAATAAAATTATGAAAAGAAAAGTAGGGGTTAGCGGGCAAAATTTTTGAATGCCACTACATGGATCAAACCAGAGGATTCCGAATATCTGGCAAAAATTCAAAAACAAAAGGAGCGATCACCCTTAACAAGTAAAACTCTTAGAATGAACGATTATTGTTTTGAAATAGCTTTCAATAAGTTTGACTGTCGTTGTAAAAACGTTTAAATTCGTTACCTTTATCTTAAAAAGAGTTTCTTTATTATTGTTCTCGCGTCATCAGTATAGTCTGAAATTGCGCCCATAAAACTATTTGCGAGCTGCAAATTTGTTGAAGGAATGGAGTCACATTAATGTTTTTTTTTTTTTAATTTATTCATTACAATATAAGACAACTTTTCGATAAACATTCCTCATTGGATAAACTAGAGCTAAACGTGCAGCTAACACCACAAAATAACATTGTCTGAAATTTAGCCCAACAATGTAGGTCTGCAAAATTGCTTTGCCCATACCTCAGAGGGATTTGAACCCGTGCTTCTGTGGAACCTATGCACTTAACCAATTAGTCGAGAGATGCATTTTCTCGTCCGCTCATCGAAAGTTGTAAACGACACATAATATATAGTGAATTACTTGCAGATCAGCTATTTTTGTCAGTCGTAAAGGATGATAATTCAAATTTGCGAATTTAAGATTGCTGACGAAGTCTATACATATTACATTTATACAATAAAAAAGCTACAATATTCGATACGATTTCGATATACACCTATATTTGATGTAAATATCACACTTAACTTGTATTTGTGTTGTTATTATATAAAGTTTGATGCTACAACATACATGTGTTGCATTCTTATAGAAAATGACAAATCACAAACATCAAGTAAATTAAAACTTTGTAATTTATATAATTATTTATTAACAATCTTTCAAATTGCCAACAAGAAGCACGAAACATTATAACAAAAAATCAATAATAAAAATATAAATCATAATAATAGATATACACGTAACAATGAATGACATATACATATACATATACAACAAATGCAATTCATATAGCGTCTAAGTAAGTCGCAGACGTTGAATATATAGTGGTGCACCACAATTTTTGCCTTCTTGTGTGGGTGACGTCGAAGACATGTTTGCTGAAGTGGCGACAAGAAGGTTTTGTATTGTTTCTTGTATTAAAACTGTCTGTTCAGTCAAATTTAGGATATTCTCGTCTTGCTTTCTCAATATGTCCTCAAGAAGTCCTCTCACTTGGTGTATTCCCATCTCGATGTCAACTAACTTTGTTTCCTTTGTTATACTCATTGTTTGCCTTTGATGAATAGACAATAACTGAAATAAAAACCAAACAAATCTCTTTAAGTATTCAAGAATCACGAACGTATATTTGAATTAAATAGTATATTTCATATATGTCATTGATATTGTATTTTTCTATTAAAAACACACATTCTTTACAGTATGACTACCTCAGATTATGCTAAAATACATATATTATTCGGGTAAAATATTGATACATACCATAGAATAGTGCTTTATCTTGATCAAATTCAATTCCTTTGCAATGTCATTTATGTTGTTTATTTAAAATAGAATTGAAAACTATTAAGGGATATTGTCTTTTCGTGTGCAGCGTTCTGCAACATTATTTTCAATCTCAATGTAAAATCTATACAGTTCAAAAATGATTTACTTATATTCAATTAGTTTTCAAAACTATTCTTCCGGCTGGCTGGAAAATAGTTTTTTTTAATTGTTTTTGCAAAGTAAACCTTTCGTAAATAAACAATTATTTCATTTGGACATTGTTTAGAATCTTTGCATTATTTTTCAAATCCAATATCAAAATATAAACATGTCTTTCTAGTGGTTATTATTAATTTTTCATATGTTTTTAATAAATTGTAGTTAAAACACTATTATGTTTTGGTTGTACAAAAAGTAAATAAACAAAATGAATGAATGATTCCAAGATCATTGAAAAAATATGTAAAAAGTAAAATAACATAAAATACCGAACCCCAAGGAAAATTCAAAACGGAAAGTCCCTTAATGGCAAAATCAAAAGCTCAAACAAATCAAACGAATGGAAAACAACTGTCATATTCCTGATTTGATACACATTCATTTTGTCCTTATGTTAACCATGTGAAGATTAGTGCATATGAATTATTCAACTATGTTTTTCAGAAAATAGTCAATATATTAAAAAAAAATCTTTTGACTTACAAAAAGTAAATAAACAAAATGAAATCGTTAGATGTATTAAGCGTATATTCAATATAATTTACCAAGGCCTCCATGTTTCCTCTTATTCGCGAATTGTTTGGTGATAGATTGTTTTGATCATATTTTCTACATTGCATTTTAATGTAATTTGGTGAAATTTTAAGTCTGGTTTAAAGACTGAATCGGACTTGACAACTTTTGCTGTCATTATCGAGTATATGCGAAATTAATTGTACACGATAATAAGAGAATGTTGCAAAAGTGTCTCAACTAACTAGCGACATGTTTTCGCGGCCTTAGATCTTTAGCTCCTAGTATAGTCGTCTGATTTGTAATTTTACTGATTGTTCCTTTCCCGAATGTGACATTTTGGCTGAGTGTGAATTAGCATGGCGAGTGATGAATGCATAGCAGGAAATACTTACCCCGTCGACGCACCTGGGCTTGCCCTTTTTGGAGTTCATGCGATTCCCTCAGTTTCTGTAACATTGGTCACTTCTTAATCAATTTACGATTTGAACATCGGTAAACTACTCATGCCTTAATTTCACTTAAAATATAAACATTTTTCTGTGCAATGTTATTGCTATGAATTTTTTCTCATGAACTTAGCTTAAATCTGAAAGGAAGAGGAGAATCGTTTGGCTCTGAAATATTTCAATCAGAACAATTGGAATATTCCCTACGAGGAAGGCAATTAGCGTAAGCGTTAGCTAAAGCTTCTTTAACTTTGTTGGAACAGATTATTCATATGTTTTTCTTGCTTCTTCAGTGACATGACGTTTTTTGTTAAATCAATATAATTTGTTTTCCTCTATTATAACATCATCGATGTTTTACTTCAATTAACAGCAAGACGGGTTCCACGTATAAAGCAAGAACTACTAACCGTTCTGGGTCACATGAGTTCAACCCAAGTTCGTATAAATGTTTAGTTTTTTGCGTCAGTTTTTCTTTTACTGACGAGTTTTGAAGGTCTCCTTGGTATCCTTTGCTTCTTTTTTAGGAACTGAACTTTACATTTAATGTACGACGGATATGTTCCAATTGTCGTAACAACAATCCCCGAATTAGACTTATTATCGGGTTTGTACTTACATGAGCAACACAACTAGTGCAAAATGTGGAACATGATCTGCTAACCCTTCCGGAGCACCTGAGATCACCCCCGGTTTTGATGGGGTTCGTGTTGCTCAGTCTTTAGTTTAGATTTCTATGTTGTTTTTGTATACTGTTGTTTGTCTTTCGGTCTTTTTCGTTTTTTTGCCATGGCGATGTTAGTTTATTTTCGACTTATGAGTTTGAATGTCACCTTTGGTATCTTTCGCCTCTCTTTTAGTGATTAAAAGAATAGTTCAATAAATAATACCGCAATTAGGTTAATCCCAGTTGTCTCAAACTTAAGATCAACCTGCCACATGATTCATTGATGTGATGTGGCTGTATAAGAATTCATCAGATACCAGGCTTATTATTTAATACGCAATATGCGCGTGAGTCTACATCAGTGGCGCTCAAATCAAAACAACTGGAAAGCCAAATCAATAATGAAAATGAAAAGTTTTTAAAAAAAAGTATTTAGGATGTTTTATGAACAGTAAATTTATAAAAATTACTGTATCAATAATATCAGAAGTCCATTAATAGACTAGTAATGGACTTCTGATAATATTCATGCCTGCACAGAAGTACTGACTGGACTGATAATACCATCGGGGACGAAACTTCCATCAGGAGTTGCATCTATCCAGTGGTAAAAACTCGTCAAAGATATCAGGCTAACAATTTAACAGGTTTAATTCGCCAGACGCGTGTTCTGTTTACATAAGACTCACCAGTGACGCTAGAATCTGAACAGTTGGAAGGTCAATTAATAACGAAGTTGGATCTGCTTACTCTACAGGAGCACAATACAAATACTTTAGTAAACCGATCATCGGCCCATAAAGAGCAGGTTACATATAATGATTATAAATAGACAGAAGTAAAGAAACAATAATGATAATGATAATGATAATATAAAGATGTTTTCTTATCGTAAAACGTTTATAACAAACCAGAGCCACAATATAGCATATTTCTTCATGTTCACATGAAGGAAGTCAAATAAATATGTTTTCTGTATCTAGATTTTTTAAATATTTTAAAGCAGAATCTAACATAACGTGTTGTTGTTGTTCGAATTCTGGACGTTCTATAAATAAATGAATTTCATCTGCAATTGGATTTAAAGAACAAAATTTACAGATTAATTTATCTTTGTCAATATTTTTATAACGACCCTTGCTTAATGATAGCTAATTTATAAGCACTGATTTGTGTGATTTCTAGTTTTAAAATTTTAAAGATCATTTGGATAAGTTTCTCTTTTGAAAATGATTTCTTAATTTACACATGTACTTTATTTGGCTACGCTCGTCTGGTGTACAAAATTATAAGCCTGGTATTTTTGATGAGTTGATCTAAAACTACTGGGTTGATGCCACTGCTGTCCCCGGACCAGCCTAGTAGTCAGCACTTCTGTGTTGACATGAATTATCATTGATATTGTCATACAATGTATTTATAAATTAACTGTTTACAAATCTTTGAATTGTTCGAACTACTAAGGATTTTCTACCCTAGGAATAGATTGCCTCAGCTGTCTTTGGCAAAACCTTAAGGACCTCAAGGCTCTTCAACTTGTTCTTTTATTTGGCATTTATCATTTTTATTCCATCGTCACTAGTGAGTCCTATTTAGAAGAAACGCGCGTTTGGCGTACAAAATATAAGCCTGGTACTTTTTATATACCATTCTCGTGCAAATAAATGCTATCTGTAGTAGTAGATAAACAAATGACACTCATTCATGTCTTTGAATCTACAGAACATTTTAATAACTAAACAAATAATATCAGTATGTAGTGGAGTACGACCAAGTTTCTGTGAATATGGTATTAGTATGCACATGCTATTACACACTGGTATTTAGGGGTTTGCATAGGCAATTATATTTTATCAGTCATTTAGAATTATGTTGGAAAATTTAACCGAAAAAGGAGCAAATTATGGTTGTTGCAAAATTTGTTCACCATATTTGAGCAAATCAGCCATACAAAATCCAATTTTGTAACTATCAGTGTATAACCCATTGCATGATTCTTACATTGTCTGGTACTTAACCATAAACTTCCTAAATTTTGTCCCTGTAGATGTGCGATATGCGTATAAAATGACACAGAGACTAAAAACGTATAGGTCGGACAATACGATTATATACAGGGGAAAAGCTTTATTAGCACTAGATTTTCTGTGTTAAGTTATGTTTTTTTAGGTGTTGGTCGGCTTGAATTGAATCCGTCAGGGTTCATCGTCTGCCATCTCCATAAATCTTCACCTAAAATATTGAACATATACTGTTAAAATGTTAGATAGATGGTCTACTTTCAATATATTATGCCATCGTTTCAAAATTGCTCTTCTAAACGGGTTAAAATTAAATATATGGAAATAAAAACAAATATTTAACAAGTAATAAAACGCTTTAGAATAGATATCTACTTCATTCAAAGTTGAATTCAACATGTAAATCTTTTACAGTGTCAACATTTCCAAATGACTACCTACACATTGTATTCAAACCCCTCGTGGCTTTCCATCCCAATTCTTTGGCAGCCAAATCTGGTTTACTGTAAGTTGATGCTACATCACCGGGACGTCTTCCTGTTATTCTATATTGCACCTACAAGATATATTTTTAAATCTCGATTGGTTCTTTTGTCTAGTTTCCATTTTACTGTTTGATGAACTGTATTCAAATTACAGATTTCTTTTAATCATTATTTTAAGAACAATTTGTTTTACCGAGTAAGTGGTAAGGTGAGTTATTTATTTGAGTTCCTAAAATATGACAAAATTCAAGGCATCAACCAAAGAAACATACATGCTTCTGTTTGCATTCTTTTTAATAGTTTAATTAATGATCATATTAAAAAGAGAAATAAATAATTTTTATGAGCTCTAAACCCTTTCCCTAACTGTAGAAAATGGTGTAACAGTGCTCCAATATAACAAAACTGAAAGCCTGTCCAATTTTAACTAATAAATAAAACCATATTTTCCCAGATTAAAATATCAAACAGTTCATCTCCAATGAATTGAGATTAAAAACAATGCAAAAATCTAATTTTCGACAGGGTGTAGGACCATTAGTGAACTTGGGTTGCAATAAATGCTTAGCTATGTATTAAACTTTGCAAAATACAATCAATATTAGTTCCCATAAAGGAAACATTCAAAGATTTCAGAACAGTATATATTTGATCACCTTGAATAAAAAACTAAGAAGATGTGGTATGATTGCCAGTGAGACCAACTTTCCACCACAGACCAAATGAAGTAGCAACTAAATGTCAT